TTAGAAAACAAAATATGTTAGAAGGTTYATTTTACTATTGTGATTCTATTCGTATCCCTTGGAGGGTTCACCTATTTTTGTCAACCGCTTTCGAGTTGCATCATTTTATAATTCCTTTCGGTTTCTTTTTCTGACTTACCCTAAAAGGCTATAAGCGTTTTTGGGCATGATTTTTTTTTTGGTAACCATGAGTGTCTTAATTTAYCACTTTGTGCACACCTTGATCCATCCCACGTAACAAACGGAAAAAATCTTAGTAGCTCCGAGAAGACCTACGAAGATGACCCCCAACACCTAGCCTTTTTTTTGGTAGTGAAGTTGGCCATTATTGTTTGAATATCAATCGAGTTAGTTTGGTTTGATTTGGTTTTCAGGTCGAATTTTAGGCGGCTAAATTATGCTGGCTTCTTCACGGCTATCTTGGAACGGGACGATGAAATGATCTCCGTAGCTTCCATACGGTTATTTTTTCGAACTCCATTCCTATAAATCTGTAGAATTCGGKTGTTTCTTTGAACTCTATCCTCATGAATGGGCTCTGTTTATGTTTTTGATTATCGCAGGATTCATGGAAATAAGGTAGCGGAAATGCCTGTTGTTGGGACCCGTGAAATATATAGGCGTCAAGGGATGTGTAGTCGCCTTTTAGATTCAATCGAATCGGTATGCTTCCATATCTTAATGCGAAAAATCTATGTTTATATCTTCTTAACAAGTAGAATCCTTGTTTCCAGGGTGTTTGGGCTAATAATTGTTCATATATTCATAATCAGCTAAACCTTAAACTCTAAACATTAAATACTAAAATTTGTAAACTTTTTTTTAACGTTGGGTTAAATTTTAGGTTTTGGGCTCTCTTGGCATTGGGGAGTTGGTTATTCCCGCGGTCCCCGCTGTCTCAAAAACGTGGATCAACGTGTTCGGTTTCACGCCACTCAATGAATCAATGAAGCAGACGATGAAATCTATGAACCTTGTGGTATTTCGTGGCACGGAAATGCTTCAAAAACATGTTCCTGAAAACCGATCCACYGATAGGTACCTTCACAAGCTTGCAAGTACTTTACTTTATAACTAAACCCTAAAACCCTAAACTCTAAATTCTTCTCGTGTTCATATCTTTTGAAGACCTTGAGGTTTCTTTTCTACTTACTTCTGTTTGTATATTTCCTTGTTTCGTGTTTTTTTGGCTGCAAACTTTTTCTATTTTTGCTCCCTTTTTCCAGAGTTGAGGGTTTTCAAATTTCACTGAAATGGTTGCTTAGATGRGCTCTTTGGTGCGATTGATATGGAATTAATGTCGTAATGGTTTGTTGGTTCTATTTACGTTTTGTTACCATACTAATTAACTATAATYCCCATTGAGTTAATTCGAGAAAATATGACCGATAACTGTTGGAAAGTACAAGGTTATTTGTTTTTATATACACRTGGGAACTAATCAAATAAGAACCACAAAAAGATTGATACCCGTAATAACTAGTTGTTATGTGTTGTTTCACATACCGTAACAATGCATACAAAAATATWTTGTTGTTTCACAATGTGATTATTGTTATACTCTATTTTTAGTATTAAATGTGAAACAACATTGTATTTTCACATGTATTGTTTCACAATGTGAAACAACKCATAACCAATAATTCTCACGGTTGTCATTTTATTTATCATTCTCATTTGATTATGAATCTACGCATGTTAATGGTTGGATTTATGATTACCGTCGTCTTGTTCATAATTTTTCTTGATCTGGGTTTCTTGTTTAACGATTCGAGTAATCCTGCATACATGCATTTGTCTATAAACGGTTACAGTCGTCTTGTTCATTAATTTTCTTGATATCGACCTTTTGTTTATAAGTTTAAAATATCGAGTTAACTCAAGGTTCAACTACTATTCTCACAGGTAGGCGTACATAAACTTTGAAGAAAGTTGTGCAAGCTACTTTCAAAACATACCATTACYTTTAAGACGTTGCAGACAGTTATAAAAAACTGTATTTTATAAATTTTGCTGTTTATAGATCAGTCATTCTAAAAAGTTTAGAGAACATTTTTGCATTCGCAATGGAAGATTATAGTTTGGATGTAAAGTTCCCTATGCTTGAATGTTGTTGTTTAGATATATGTTTTGATCTTTTCAAATAATTTTTGTTTTTTATGCATAATCTTCTATTTTTGGTTATCTTTGCATATTTGAAATGATATATGAGTTATTTTTGTGGGTGAATAGAAAGGTTTTGGACACTTATTCAGATGATTTTTATAAATTCGAGGTATGAAAGGTGTATGTGCTAAACTTTAAGTGGTGGGCATTAGAAAATACAAGAGATATCAACCAGAAAACTGAAAAAGTCCCTCAAAATCAACCAAAAAACTAGAAACATAAAATCCCTTGAAAAAAAGGGGAATTTGGCTAAATACATTGGGTTACGTCTAAGACATAATATTGCGTCTTGCTCAAACGGTCAATTTTATTTGGAAAAATTGTATCTTATTCCCCAAATCCACAAAATTAATTTTCTCACGGGTCAAACGGTGTCACCTTTTCCACATGATCAACCCACGATTTTGTAGACCTTTGATCTACCTTAAAAGTGCACCGCTTTGCAGATGGATATAGATGAATATTGTGTTACTGACTCGTACATGCCGACTCCGTATGAAGCTGGAAAAAATACGAGGGGAYAGGGAAAGATTTAGTTTTTTTAAGAGAATTTTATTTAATTTACGGTCCTATACTAAATTTTTGATGCACTTTTTTTCAATTACCGAAATTGGAGAAACGATTGCACATTGGTACTAGTTAGAATAGGGTATGTAAGAATACGTAGGTGAAATTTTGATAAATTGGGTTTTTCTCGTTTTGATATTGGTTTCAATATTAATACTGATCCAACTTTTTTATATGGTTTTATCTGAGTTACGGAAGTCTTTTCATAATCTTGATGTGTATTTTGAATCTTTACAACACACGTCTTTGCAAAGATAACATTTTTATTGCCTACCTATTAATTGATTTATTCCTAATAATTACGTTCAAAGATTACTAAAACCTTCTGCATACTAAATTTGACGTCAAATCACTTCATTTTCACCAAATTTGATGTAATAAACAGTAATACACTAAATTTGATATAACACTATTCATTTACACAAGATTTTTAGTCAATTGAAATATAAAATAGAAAAGTGAATTACCCTGAGTGGTCCATGTGGTTTGCTCAAATTGGTCGTCCATAATTTATCGATTTCATAACACTCAAGGTCCTGTGAGTTAATACCGTTAGTTAGCAATCGTTAAATTAGTCTTCGAACATACTACATGGATCAAAAGTGTAATTCAATCTAAAATAAAATGTGATTCATGTATTTTAAAAAATTATTTAYAAGTACAATTAACAATTTTCTTTTGATCCTTGTATCAATTTGATTGTTATAACTCATTCACAATTATTTGATAATTCAATTTAATACTGTCTTGTAATAACTATTAAACACACATAAAAGAATGTAATCATGTATGAWGTTCACGAAAATGTTTAATTTATCACATGCTTTTTCTTGTATGATATTATTTTTTTAGGATTGAGATCACGTGAGACCAAACTGGTTTCGTGAGACCTATGAGATCACTTTTTTACATTGAAACTTCACATGAAAACATTGTGAAGTTAAAAATCTGAACATTCACAATGTTTCTCTGTGAAATTTCAARTGTAAAAAARTAATCCTACGAAAATAGTCTGGCCTCACGGGATCCCAAGTATTTTTGTTTATGTATTAWATAATAAAAAAATAAAATAAACTTTGTGGACCAAAATGAAAATACTTGTCCTTAAATTAAATTAAAATTACGAAACAAATATTATAACTTTTTAAGACATTTGAAATATTAAGAAAATAATACCATTTTTTTAAACTTTAAAATATAGTTACAAGAATAAGGAATTAAGGATATCCATATTTTATCATAAATCCATGTGTAATGGGCCGGCCCATTACATTTGTGGGCCTTAAAATAATACAACCCAATAGCCCATTTGAAAATGCTATATAAACCATCTCAACCCATTCTAAACTAGGGTTTACGGGCTGCATCGATCGGAGGGCATTTGGGAGCATCAGCCGCTAGGAGAAGGAACTCACTCACTCGTAGATATGGTAATCCTTAAATCATTTTCAAATATCAATCTGCCGCCATGGTTATTGTTCAATTAAAATCTCATTTTCAATGTTTTATAGCTGAATATTTCGTTTTTATAAACGATTTGAGTGTGTGTTGATGTGATCTAATTTGCAGTCGTTGGTAGCAAATGAAGATTTCCAGCATATTCTTCGTGTACAGAACACGAATGTTGATGGAAAGCAAAAGATCATGTTTGCTATGACTTCGATCAAGGGTATCGGTCGTCGTTTCGCTAACATTGTCTGCAAAAAGGCTGATGTTGATATGAACAAGAGGTAGTTTTTTAATTGCCTCTGTAGTTTTTGACTTTTTGTTACCTAATTTTGGTAGTTTTTGTTTGCTGCAACTTCTGTTTAGTTTTTTTGGATGAATTTGTGCTTTTTTTGATTGCATTATGATACTGATTTTTAAACCCTCAGTTGTAGTGTGGTTAGTTCGGTAGGCTGGATGTTAGCTWGGAACGAGTAAACTGGTGCAATCATATTAAACTGGCATAACAAGAGTAAAGTGGTACAATCATATTGAAACTTTAAACGTAATGTTTTAACCACAAGTGGATGTATAATCTATTCAGGTAATATAAATCAATCAGAATAAGTGTAAGTTTGTTGTTAAGATAAGAGGTTTCTGGGTTTAATCTTAATCCAAACGTTATGGCAATCAAATCTATTTTTGACTAGATTTATAAGGGGCTTGGGCTTGAACCAAGTGTGTGGATAATGCGACAATATCTGGTACACTTGGTCTTGGATGTTACATATGGTATAAGAGCCATGTCAGCCAGGATGCTGGGCTCCCAAGATCCCACATGTTGTGGAGGGGAGCAAAGGTTGCCTTATAGGGGAATTGATACCTCTATTAGATGTTTTTAAAACCGTGAGTCCTACGGACAATATCTGATACGGTTGGTTTGGGATGTTACAGCATACGATGCATTTCTGTTAATTTTGACAAATGTTAAAATATTCATTTAGTTTTCATAATACATTGGTGTTATAGGTATCGCATTTAGGTTTTATTAGATCTTCATTAAACATAAGTAAATTGTCTGTTTATACATGAATCATTGATTTATATTCATCACTTGAACATAAAGAAATGATCATAAGTTGGTTTGCTGAGAAGACGATCTTTATTCAAAATATGTGTAGGGAAGAACAGGAAAAAAGAAATGATCATAATATGGTTTTCAATGTGAATTTAAGATCTGTCAGTACATTCTTGCATTCTTGATTTTTATAGGAAAACATAAAGATATTTCACTTGTTGACACAAAAACTTTACTAATGCCTACCAAAACACAAAGATATTCTTGCATTCTTGATTTTAAGTTTTGTCACCTACTTTTCTTGTATCTAAGCTGAATGTTTGTCAACTTACAATTGCAGAGCCGGAGAATTATCGAATGCAGAGATTGATAATCTGATGACGATTGTTGCAAATCCCCGACAATTCAAAATCCCAGATTGGTTTCTTAACAGAAAGAAGGACTACAAGGATGGGAAGTACTCTCAAGTCACATCTAATGCCCTTGACATGAAGCTCAGAGATGATCTCGAACGATTGAAGAAGATCAGGTAACTTTCGATAATCTTAGTTTTAAATTTTGATTGGTAGCTTGTTAATCTTGTAATATCAGATTATATGAATAACAAGTCTATCATTCACTTTGTTTTAAGCTTTTCATAAACATTTCGTAAAACCCAATTCATCAAATGCTACAAAAGCAGTAGGTTACCTCTCATGGGATCATGTGAGAATAAGAGTTATAGTTAGAATCTTGAGAACAATTCCTGAATCTTTGGATGAGTTGATTTTTTTCAACTACATTCATTTACCTTATCTACATATTTTTCTTTACTTTTAAGTCATTTTAAAAAAAAATTATACATGTAATCACTTTTACATACATAAATTTGTTGAATTCTCAGAGTAAATTACGTTTTTAGTCCCTGTGGTTTGTTGAAAATTTCTATTTTTGTCCATATGGGTTTGAAATTACAATTTTCATCCCTATGGTTTATAATTTGCTACCTTTTTTATTGTTTTTTTCTCTGTTTCTATGGCTTGTAATTCGTATATATTTTATTCCTTCGTACTTAAAAATAATGTTTTGGCCTTAGGGACAGAAAATAAAAATGAATTGCAAGCCATATGGATGCAAAGCGGGATTTTGAAACGACAGGGATGAAAAACTTAACTTACATTGATAAAATTAGGTAAATAAAAGTAGTTGAATGTTTTGTTCTCATCTTGTCACTAGAACCACCCAACCCACCTCTCAATCTCATGATGAGCACAAACTTGCAACATTTTGAAACCTCGAGAAAAAAAATCATTTGCTACACTAAATGTTGTTGCATTTTGTTGTGTAATGTTTACCTTATTGTTGTTTGTGAACTTTGAATTTGTTTGAAGGAACCATCGTGGTCTTCGTCATTACTGGGGTCTGCGAGTACGTGGACAACACACCAAGACCACCGGTCGCAGGGGAAAGACCGTTGGTGTGTCCAAGAAGCGATAAATGTTTTTGTGTTTTGGTCTTAAATCCTTGAGATTTAGAATTTGGGGTAAGTTATGGTTTGGTTGTACTTTTTTGGATCTTGATGTGTTGTAGGGGATTCTAAACTGAGTTTTATTTACATTTTGTGAGAGTTGATATTGCATATTTTTTGGATCATGATAATGAGTTCAGCATCTCTGTTTTAATTGTTTTTGGCCTCTTTTCAGTATCATTTTGGTATATACTCTTCAATAAGATTTAATATGAAATTTATTACCTCTACACTTGTTAGAAAAGAATGGCTTCATACTTGTGATAATTTCACTAAAGTCTTATTTAGTGTTTTAAATTAATATGAACGGTGGTTTATTTTTTAATCTACTTTTTGTGTAAGGATTATGAGAAACCCACTTTGTATACTTGTAATTTTATTTTTGAAAAACAATATATCACTCAATCCGTCCTAAAATAAGTGTATACATTGTTATTTTAGTTTGTCTCAAAAGTAAAGAGTATTTGGTTAGAGGTATTTAACAGTAATTAATGATAATGAAAATATAATAAACTCTTTGGTTTTGTACAATATAATAGGTTCATTTCCAAGAAGCCTAAGATGGTGTTTGGWTCGTTAGAATTCGGCGGAATTTAAAGGAATTGGAATGGTSAATTTCTTTGACCAAATTTTATTCCTACGTTTGGTTCATTTTTTGAGTTTCCATAAAGAATTCGAATTCCACAAATGGTCGAATGTAAATTCCTTGAGTTTTAGTAAAGACTTTCAATTCCTTCCTACCATCCTTTACGAAAAAAACTGTTATAATCTTTTTATTACACCATCCTATTCAATCCCACCATGATTGATGTCACCATCGTCGTCACCACCACCACCCCCCATCTACACTGTCGCGGCCACCCATCATCACTTCTCACTGCCGCCATCACATTCATTACCATTATCGCCTTCACCTACAACTCCCATTACCGTTGTCATCATCATTGTAGCCATTGCCACCGCCACCACAGTCATTGACACCATTACCACCATCATCACCACCATTGACACCACTATCACTCTGTCCCACCACCACTATAATATTCCTTGAACCAAACAGACATATTCAAATTCTTTTGATAATTTCTATTGCAATTCCTGCCAACCAAACGCATTAATGAAACTTCATTCCAATTCCTTCATATTCCAATTCATTTGACATATTTCAATTCTGACACATTCTATTTTGTGTACCAAACGTCACCTAAATTCTCATTACCGAATGAACCGGGGGAATGAAAGTTCATTCACATTTATATTGCATGTCATTTTCATTTAATTCCCTTATACGAACCAAACAGCCCCTAAATGTCTATTTTCTTATTATATCCTTAATTATAAGATGAAAAAAAAATATCTTCATAATTAAAGGTAAAATTGTTTTTTTTTATCAATTAAAAAGTATAATAATTACATATTTTTAAAATTAGTGTTATTTTTTTATTATGAATATTTATTTTAAGATGGAAGAGGTAGTGTCGTTAAAAAAAATTAAATTAAATTAAAATGATTATAAATTAATTATAGTATAAAATAATCAAAATAACAAAATACAAGTAAACACTAGTATGATGACAATATCATCCGTAAATACATTTATATAAAGCAATAAACATCAAATCAAAGTATATTGACCGACTCTTGTCGGCAATATTAACACTATAATGCCACTTTTATCCTACGATATATCTGATAATGTCAATTTTAATTATTCAATAAATATAAGTCCTAACGGGTTATTTGGTAGTTGCTGAATTGTTTGGTGCAAAATAATTAAGCGGTCAAAATTATCAAAAGACTCTCATAATATAGTGTAAAATGAATTAGAATTATTTGGTAATTGTTTACGATGAAATTATGACGCCGAATGGTTAAGGGATGCCCAAGATGCAAAATCATTCAACGGATTTTAAAATCATTAAGAAACAATTTTTTTTTTGTCAAAGAAGATTCACCTCTTAACGATTCAGAAACTGTCTCTTAAGAATACTATTAAGAGGTAAACAAACAACCTCTAATAATCGATATTATAAATACAAGATCTGAATCGAGACTTTAAAGTTAGACTCAACGAATATTAAATTTTCTATTATCATTACAATTATCAGTATTTGTTTTCATACTCTTATTGAAACAGTTGTATATTTTACGATAATACAGATGATCTCGATTGGAGTTATATAATAAGATCCAAAACCATGGATTCTGGACAAGTTGCAAACATAAAAAATGAAACGAGTTGAAATTAAATAATTAGAGTTAAAAAACAAAATCAAAGATTCTCCACATTTGTTCGTGTAATTTCCCATTTCCCGTTTCCAAATCCAAATATTGCCAAGATTCCAACCAATTATTTGTTTTATATATGCCAACTCGAGACCATAAAAAAATCCCTTTGTATTTTGAGGCAACTTCGGTCCCTATGGTTTATATAATTTAATGAGTTAGGTCCCTGAAGTTTTCTTTTTTAACGAAGAGCATCCTTAAGGTTTTATTTTTATAACATATATGATCCTTCTTAATAACACCGTCAGTTTAGAGTGGTGTTAGTGAGGGGCAGTTTAATCCATTAACTCTTTCTCTCTATTCAGTTTCATTTTTAGTACACATTTGATCCATCCATCTACTTTCATTTTATTAACATATATGGTCCCTCCTACTTTTAATTTAGTAACATGTTTGGTCACTCACTTTAAGTAATTTACGTAAATAATTATTATAGTTAAATATATATAAAAATATAAATTAATTAATTTACTTTAAACTGATTAATATATGTTAAAGATGATTGCAGTTAAAAATGAAAAATTAATAAATAAATGTCAAACACATAAAAATGTTATAATTTAAGACTAATGTTATATTTAGTACTTTCGGTTGGAAATTAGCAAAATAACTAAACAAACTTATAAGTCAYTGTTTTAATCACACTATTACCTGGACCATAATTTTATTCAATTAATACTCATGTAATAATTGTTTTCATAACGTTAAATATTTAACAAATTATGACTATTTGATCAAGTAGGGACAAACCCAGTTCAGAGCATACAATGTTTAAAAATTCAAGGTTGTGAAAAGTGTCACCATATTAATTTGTTGTGTGTCACCGTATATATTTTGAAACTAAAATGTGTAACGCATTTTCTTTGGTCAAGTTGATTTGCAAAGTTTTTCTTCCACCTTAGACCCGAGTCCGAATCCTGTTAGTGTCATTTTCTTAGTCAAATGGTGTCACCGTTTTTTCTCTATTTGTTTCTTATAGTCAAATGATATCATCGTTTGAAAAAAAAAATTGGGTCCATCCCTATGATCAAGTAAAATTTTTACAAACATTCAATAAAATAAGAGAGGGAGATATATATAAACAACTTTATTATAATACATGTGTTTGATTCACACTCCATGTTCTGAAAAATATATACCATCTGAGAAAAGGAAAAAAAAAATGGAGTTTAACATCAAACTAATTTTTTAACTTTCAATTAAGATGAGGGGCCAAATACGTTATCAAACTGAAAGTAGAAGGAGGGACAAAATATATTACTAAAATGAAAGGTGATGGAGGGAGTCGAGGGACCAAATATGTTATAAAAATAAAAATGGATGAAAAAGAAAGGTTAATGGACTAAACTACCCCTCACCAGTGTCACTCTAGTTGACGGTGTTATTAAGTGATACCAAATGTGTTATATCTTACTCGTTAATTTATGTAAACCACATGAAACAAATTTACATTTAAGTCATATTTTAAAAATTATGAATTTAAGAAAATCTTAGACCCATAAAATAAAAAATCAAATAATGTTAGACCAAGAAAATAAAAATCGCTATTTTTGACCTCGAACAAAAACCGATTTTTTTAAAGAAAATGTTAGACCCGTAAAATAAAAATTGAAATGAAAAATCTAGAATCCATTTATTTTATAGCAGGTCGTCAAGAAACTAAAAAATTATACAGGTATTTAAAAATCCAGACCACCTTATAAGTGTCAATCCCTTCTCCGTCAAGTCACTTTCACATCGCCCCCGGTACAACCCAACACGACCAACTAACAAATAAATCAATTTTGACTGAAACAAAAAAGGCATCGTAAAAAAAGTATAACATTAAATTAAATTTAAAAAAAAAACACATGATTATTGTGGATGTTAATACAAGAAGTTAAGTGATAAAAAGGACAAAATTGGGAACTCAAAATATAAGTAAAGGGGACATTGTTATTATTATAGAATTGTACTTTTGTAACCTTATAGTAAAAGTGGGGACATACACCTCTACAATCTAAATTATTGTCCCAAAAAAGACACAAAACTTTGTCACCATCTTTTTCATGCCCAAACCAAAACACTTTTTCAAAGGTATTATCACAAGATTTCAATTTTTTATTTTTAAGATCGTTACAGGAAACATGTTTTGCTTAGTATTAACAAATATTTCATTAAATATTATTAAAATACTATTTTATCATGATTTATAAAGTTTATATTGGTTTCCTGTTTTGAATGTTATGAAAATTATACATCAAGAAAGTTTTTGATCTGAATTATTTTGAAATTTATCAAATTTAGAATTTTTTATTTGACTCTGACTCTTCACAAAGAAGATAATCGAAAACAGACATTTTTACCAGTAAAGATTTACTAAATATTGACTTATTGTTTTAAAATAAAAATAAAATAATGATTTATGATTTATTTAATCAGGAATGGTTACAAAATAATTGAAGTTGGATAAGGTGTATTATTAATAACTTTTATGATTTTTATTTTTTATAATTATTGAAACACCCCACCCCACGCCAACCCTCACATGTTATTTCTTTTTTTAATTTTAGAAATATTTCCCAACTCATATGAACAAATAAATATCCCTCCTTCGATCCCAAAAAAAAACATTTATAATATAGATTTAGGATCACGTGATACTAGTCTGTTTTTATAAGTCTAATTTTTTACATTTGAAACTTCATAACAAAAAGTTGTGAAAGTAACYTTCATAGTGTTTTTGCGGTGAAGGTTCAACTTTTTTTTACCTTCACATCGTTCTATTGTGAAGTTTCAAGTGTAAAAAAACGGTCTTACGAGTCCACGAAAACATGTTGGTCTCACGTGAACCCAACCCTACACACACATATATATGGGTCTCATGAAAACATGTTGGACTCACGTGAACCCAACCTTACACACACATATATACGGGTCTTATGAAAACATGTTGGTCTCACGTGAACCCAACCCTACATACACATATTAAGATAGAAATTTTGACCCTTATTTTGAGACTGAGAATATAATAAACAATAGAAATTGACTCAAATGATTATTTCTCTCACATTAATTAGTCTTCTAGTTATTCCTCTACTAATATTTACCTAAATGTCAGTATCTCTGYAAGTGGAATCTTTCTAACTTGCGGAGGTAACTAAAACACAAAAAAAATTACAATTTCCACACACCTCCGCAAGTTAGAGAGGTACTACTTGTAGAGATGCAGTGAGGAATGACAATTTCAGTCAATTTTCAAATAAATTAATATATAAATCATGATAATAATTGGTTTAATATTAATTCAAAATTAATGATATTTAAAAAACTACAAAAATTACTACATTAATCAGTAATCACACACCCACCACCTCGCAAAGAAAAAAAAATCATAAAACCACCGCCGGGGATATTATAGATTCCGGCAACCTCCGCCTTCCGCGGCGGAGGAGGCCATGAGAGTAACGAGAAGATCCGCAAAAGCTCCGACGATGAACTTGTGAGCACTTTTCGGGTTCAAGTCAAGGTAGCACGTGAGTAGCTCGTGCAAGTAATCCCAGTTGGCACGTACATCGATGAGGTCACGTGCTTCCACCATCTCCTGCATCGATTTACGGAAATCAAAGTACGGGTCCGGTGAGATCGTCGGAATGGCAACGCCTCCGCCGACGAAACCGTCGGTGACGTCTTCCGGGGGGATTTCTAAAGTGGAGGAGGTGGAGGCTAGGGAGGAGGTGGAGGGGGAAGATGATTCGATGATGGAATTTGATCGGCCGGGGGAGGAGAAGAAGAAACGATTGGATGCGATGACGGAGGAGAAATCAGCGGCGGCGCTGGCGTTGGCGATGGTGGCGGTGGTCTTTGATGCGTCGTCGGAATCGTAGGCTGGGGGAATGTCATAAAGGGTGTTGAAGTTTTTTATTAGATTTGATTTGGGATTGTGGAGGATGCTTTCGGAGTGGTGGCGGCGGTGGTGATGGCGAGGTGGCGGAGGACTGGGGGAAGATTGGAGGCGTTTAATTTTGTTGAAACAGAGAGTAAGATTCCGCTCAAAGGTGGTCGGCATTTTCTCCGATTTTGAGTGATGGCTGCTCCGATTAACCGCCGGCCGCCGTGTATGTAGAGCGTGATGGTATCAACTCCGATGTGGTTTTATATGTTTACACGAATGAGAGAGATAGAGATCTTATAGCATTAAATTTATTTGATACCTTTGCTTAACAAATAATTTTCTAATAATTAATTAAATATTCTCATTAAAATTAAATACTTAATTTGTCTCAAAATTAAAGTTGATAATAAAAATGAATTAATGATGTATAATGTTATGAAATTGTAGTTATTACGGTTTTTAATTAATTAAAGAATAATTTTAGGAAGTGAAAATCTTACCATAAAAAACATGACAAAGATCAAAAATCTTATCCGATGAATRAGAGAGTAGACTTTTATCCGGTAAATGCATGTCGGGTTAAAGAGTCTTACCACAATTCATTTTAACGGTCGAGAGTGTTATGAAAAAAGGTAAATAAGAGTGATAAATCTTGTTGGTAAATGTTTCTTCAGTAAGCATTTGGTAAAAACGATGCTTTATTCTTATTGATAAAAAGAGAAATATTTTTCATCTTTAAAAATGAACATTTATTTTAAAATAAACTAAAATAAAAATATGAATACTTATTTTGAGACACAAATAATAGAAAACATTTATACATCAATTTAGTACTTCTTTTCCCCCCTTTTTAAGACATGTTTAATGGAAATGTTTATTGATAAAATAGTTATTTGTTAATAAATTAATTATTATCTGATAAAATAGTCATATATGATAAAACTAAGGGGTTGTTTTCCAAACACTTACTCGGTAAGCGTTTATCGATAAAATTTTAACACTATTATGTACTTTAATTCACAAAAACGGTATCATATGCAATAGTTTACCCGGTAAACGTTTACCGTGGTAAGAGTCATTGTCATCACTTACTGGGTAAGACTCTTGGTCCTTGTCTCGCTCTTACCAGATAAGACTTTTTGGTCCTTACATATTCATCCGATTAGGTAATGTAACTTGATCTTCACTTACTTACCTGAGTAAACATTTGGTAAACAGTCACTAAGTGATAAATTAGATGATGATTTAAAGAAACATAATGGAAAAGTGAGGAAAAAAAAATCCCAAAGGAGAAGATTATTACACACCCGATTAAGTTGTCATAAAGCATACCAGTTGTTGAACATTAAACCTCCAAAACGTGGAGAAATATCATCGAGTACATGATGAGGTTGTCATAAAGCGTACTAGTTGCTGAATATAATTAAGTCTCTCTGCTTTATTCAAGTGGTACTTAAAATTATTTTTAGAGCATCTTTAACAGCTATGTTGTTTTACAAATTTTAGAGTTTTAAGAAAAATTTACTGCAACAACTATACATTTTCCAAAATAGAGGCGGTCGACAAGTTACTTGCTTTGTATTGAATAAGGAACCAAACTTCAGGGTTTATACGAAAAAAAGTAGTAGATATTTTAAGGACTTTGTATGAATTTATTTCACTATTTGTTAAATATTTTTAATACAAATAAAATAATTTTTTGAACGATAACAAATAAAAACCAATAAAAATATTTTTAATTTTGAAAATTTATTATATATTATATCAAAAGATATAAATGTTGGTTTAAAGCTGAAGAAATGCTATTGACTCTAGAATGACTGTAATAAGGGGGATGACAGATCTACTAAAGGAAAGTAGCTTTATATTGGTTCGAATCCAATTCGTGAGATGGCCATCTTGGTCATATAGATGTCTTGACACCCTTATTTTCTCATTTTTGAATGACTGTCCCATTTCATTTTTGGTATAACTTCAAGCCTGGACCCACTATATAGAACCCCTGGAATATGAACGCCCTACTCCTTGAGTACATGAGATAAGGGTTGTTTTAGCTGCAACAATTGTTAGCAATGATTGTTATTAGTAGCTAGCAGGAAGTAGCGGTGGTAAGCTAGTTGCCTTACGACATTCTGTCTTACCGTGGCTGTTGGCATGGAGTTAGCTAGGGCCCACTCAAAGTGAAGCGATTTATACTGAGCAAGAACTTGCAGTAGAATAGGACTCGCATCCAAGTCTTTGTTTGAATCACTRACAGTTTCGACAAGCCCGCAAGACTGGACTYGCTTGCTTTGCTTCCTAACACAAGAATCAAAAAGGCTACACAAGCAACACTAAGGAGGTCTGCTCTCTAAAGGGGCGCACAYYCGTTACCACTAAACAACAAAGCCAGGAGTGGAAGGCAAGYTAAGTAAAGTCATTCWGAACTGGCAGGCACCYAGAAGCAYTAKAATGGGAGATTATCGGTAAGCCAGATGCTTCGYGAACCATATTCTTAAGGCATTTCGTTGTGAAATTGTATAAGCTGTAAACAAACATATTTAAATGGTAAAAAAATTAAGGTGTTTAAACAGTTATTAGGTCGTAAAAGAACAACACAAAACTAAARTATGGTGCCAATAGATGTACACAAGGATAACTGTAACAATTCGTTCACATGGATAGAAAACTAGATTTGTTAGCTCCATTAWAAGCTTAAAGCTCTARACTTTCATCATRATTCAAATGTAATTTTGAGGTTATTRGRTCAGTTGCTTTGAGTTTAGRACGTTWCAAATGGTATCAGAGCCGATYGYTGAACCATCTGGATGGTGGACCAAACCTCACATTGTCAATTACAAGGAGGATCATGTGAAGTCTGACGATGACATCAAGAATTTAAGTGGGAGAGTTTGTAATAATTCGTTCCACATTGTTGCTTTAGGCTTGGGGCATTGTACCTAAGAATATAGGATGTATCTAAACATTATCTTTCCAGTGTTGTTTTGAAGACCTTTTTACATACAAAGTAGCATTTTTAATCAATATTTAGATAAAAAAGTTGATTATCAGCAACCTTAATCGAACCCACATGGATCCTGTCTCTAAGAACATTAATGTGAATGATATTTTTTAG